CGGCACCGGGCCTGAAGGGATCTCGGCTTCTCGTGGGGGGACGGTCTCGGCAGACGGTTTCGGAGGAGCGGGTGCCGAGGTCCCCGCCGAGCTGGACCCCGAGGTCCTTTCTTGCCCTGCCTCGTCAGGAAGTCCATGCGACTGGCCATTTTCCGATCTTTTAATGAGCTCGGGTGCGCGCACGCGTGCTTGTTTGCCTCCTTCACCGAGCCGAACCCACACTCGCGCAAGAGAGGATAGTATACTGACCAAGGAGAGCAGAATACGAGGTGAGAACAAGTATGAAAAAATATATATATATGTGCACACACGCAAGGAAAGGAGAAATACCGGGCTCGAAGGACTTGCTATTGTATTCGGGACAAAGGCCGTGCTGGACCAAACTTTCCTCCGCAACGAGGTCCTTGTAGTATCGCTTCCCTTCGGCAAGACCCAGCAAGGTTTCGACCTTCGCAACCAGCTCGTCACTCGGCTCGACGCGGGGATTGTGGACTGAAATGCAAATACCGACCTGTTAGCACGAAAAGACGCGTAATCAAAAAGATTGAAGCGAATAGAAAAGATAACGTACAAGTGCCGGAGATAAATTCAGTAGACGGGTGCCGAGCTGCTTTGGGTGTCGTCTATTCGCCGCCGACCTAGAACCATTCCAGCATGTAGCCATGCAACGATTCCGGAACCTTGTGAATGAGAGACCTGTCCACTCCTGGAGAGGCCGAGCTGTAGTAATTGCCGGTTTCCCTAGACCTCTTGAAGACGAATAGGGCCTTCACGTCGTCGCTGGTCGGGTCAACCCAGCCTTGCTGAAGGAAGAGGATGATAAGACTGACCAGCCGGGCGAAGACTGTCGGCACGAGCTGACTGATGTCGATGCCGAGGTCGCTGAGGATGTCATTCAGAGCCTCCGGCAGCGAAAATCGAAGCCCAAGCAAGACACTCGAGCGATACACACTAATACAGCCCGGCGGGGGGCAGTGAATGCGCTCGCCGGTATAAGGGGCAAAAACTCTGACCCCTAGGCCGAAGCAGGCCTTCCCGCTCAACTGCGCGAGGTCGACGTCCCTCAGCACCGACGCGGTTGTCCAGGCAGTCGCAGACGCGACGGACGGCCAGACGCGAGGAGGGCGGCACCAGCATCCCGGGGGAGCCGAGGCCGCCTCCTCGACCAAAGCATCGGTCTCGGCATCCTCGCGACCCATAGGGACTCCCTCTCGCCCATGGGTGTCTCCCTGAAGCGTCTCTTCAACCAGCCCGGCGTCGACGTCGGACTCGTCAGGAGGAGCGGAGCCGGTTTCCTTCTCGACCTCCTCGACATCAGACTGACCTGATCCGAGGTCGATGATCTCGATCGTGGGGAAGTCTGGATGTTCCCTCGGTGCAGGCCTGCCGCCGCCGGTGTCACGCGGACGGCCAAAATCGGAGTGACTCTGAGCAGCTGCGCCGCCTCTGTCGTCGGAGGAGAGTAAACCACCAACTCCCCGGTCTCCTCCACCGTGTAGCCGCCATCTCCGGTGGGGAGGTTCATCGCGTTACCAGAAGAACTCGACATAATCAAAAAATAAGAAGAAAGGTTCTGAGAAAGATTGAATTACCGGTGTGAAAATCGTCAAAAAGATCCGAAAATCTCGAAGATCGCCTCGAACTCTGGCTCGAAAATTCAGGAACTTGTTTGCTTGAAAATCTCAGAAGTGGTAAAGCTTCTCAAAGAAGACGACGGCCCATATATATACACACGGGAGACCAATCACAGTATGACACGTGGCGCAAATTTTGAATTTCGAAAATTGGGGTACGAACCGACAGTTGGGAGAGAAGTGATCCAACGGTTCGTGAACGACCGCGTGGACATCACGCGCCCCAAAAGTCGCCGTTTCGCTGAAACGACACACCGCCTGACGAGGACGAATTGGATCGTGCCACGTGGAAAGACTCTGAAGCGGCACAATTTTCCATGGTCGACCGGAAGCGTAACGGGCACGCTGCATTTAATGGCCCGTCGCTTCGGGTCTGGAAAGGGCGCGCATGGTGACTGGAAAGAACTTTGCAAGTAGAAGTTACGCGCCGAACTCGGGTGTATTCCGAAATTACGACCTCACAAGGGATACCGAAGGCACCCCCTCCGAGTTCGCCCCAAAAGAAAATCGGACAAGGGACCTCCAAGAGCCAAGCCGGAGGCCCGGTCGAGCGTGAAAGTACCGAGCTGAACTTCGAACTTGATTGATCCTGACATCTTCGCTGGTCCGTTCGCGAGCCCGGCGTTTGTGCTGTTCAGAAGCCGGTGCCGACCTGAAGACAAGTGACGAGCTGAAGTAAGGTCCCGCGAGGTCAAAAGAACGAAACGGGGTCAGGAGCCGACCTGAGGTTTCAGGGCGATCGCCCCTGAGACAGATATCGAGCCCGATAATAATATAATAATGCCACTTGGAGAACAATCATTGGTGATTGGACAGGACGTTGTAGCCTGCAAGCCTACACCCACTAACCAAGACATAAAGCCTGCCGGCATTAAATGGCCCCCATGTGTGCATTGAATGTCTGCCAGGCAATGATGAGGAAAACCTCAAATCGCATTAAATTCTGTCAGGAAGGCGCCGGACTGCTCTGCCCGAGCACTGTTGGACAAGACTGGTGAACAGTACCCGAACAGTGCCACATTTAAGAACACTATAAATAGCAACCCCCTCATTTATTTCTGGGTTGTTGAATCCCAACTGTCTTTACTCTCTCTCTCTCTCTCTCTAAACTTGTAAGGAATTTGTGTAAGAATTTGCAAGGATATCGCAAGTGCCGACCTCGTGATCAGTCAATAAAATCATAATTTAACCGCTTTTCTTGTCTTTTTCCCGCTTGATATTTCTTTTTATTATTTCTTTAACTGTTGATCGGAAACGTCCATCAACAACATAACAAGTTAATCTTCTCTTGATTCCTTCTAATCTCGTGTCTGAACTTTCCATAAAGCTGCAACCCTACAAAACAATACCATAATAAGATCATGCAACTTAACAAATAAATAAGTACGAAATACTACAAAACAATACCATAATAAGATCATGCAACTTAATAAATAAAGAAGTACGAAATTCGTACATTTATATAAGTAAACAAATAAACTTCCTTTTTATAGATTCCTTGTTCTTGTAGGAATATATCTTCAATATATTTATTTTTGAACTCATGCCAAAAATAATATTCTTTCAATGTGAGTGGTTGAGATACAAATAAATATATGGTTAGGCACTTAACTTAATGATACTTTTAACTAATGTTGTAAACTATAATTGTACACGTAGCATTGTCCAACAAAAAATTATAACCACCTTCATAAATTGTAAAAAATGAGTGACAACATTTTATGAATTGCCTACAATTAAATATATAGATTTTCTTTGAATCTTTCTCTGAATTTTCTTTGAACTCCTTCTGTATTTGGAGTTGGTGCTCACTCTGAGAGCACACCGAAATTGTTCGTAACATATTGCAAGGCCAAAAGCGTAATTCCCATAAAATTTGGATAGGATAAACAAGACCTCCACGATTCACATTTCATCCCCAAATTACAGAAACCCAAAAAAGGTCATTGAAAATTGAAATAGCTTAGAATATTTTCTTTGGAGCTCAACAATGGCCGCTGCACTCTCCCTGTGTTCCACCCTCACTCCAAAGCTTTCCAACAGTCGAGCCGCGGCGCCATTTTCTCACACAAGGAACAATCTCACCTTTATCCCCCACACTCTCTCCTCCCTGACACTCACGACGCTCAAACGGCCCTCGTTGTCCTTCACCGCGAAATTGACGAGCTCGGAGAGCGCGGTTTCTGCGAGCGAGCCCGAAACCGAGAACTCGGGCCCGGAGGATGTGCCAGAGAGTGATCCCGCTGCGGAAATTGCTCAGCCCAAGAGAGAGGAAGTGTTCGCTGTCGTGATGGTGAGTGTTTTGAATGTGAATGTTAGCTTGTTTTCGGTTCTTTCTTGTGCTAGTTTGGAAATCAAGGTGTGGAAGGAGAGCTTTAATCTGATGATTGGGAATCTATATGATTTGTTTTCTGTTGTCTGCAGTGATTATGCTTTTGTTGATGTCTTGAAGTTTTTCACATATGATAAATATCTGCAATGGCATAGATGTCGATTGCTCTGTTTACATTTATCTCTTCCCTAGGAAGAGATAGTTATGGCCTGCTGCTGAATGTTCATCTTTCTAATGGTGGTATTTTTGCAATCAAAATTAGTCCTGGACTTCGACAATGGATTTGGGTTGATAAACCATTCAATTTTCAGTTACTCTTCGCTAGGAAAGACTTCAATTCGTTGTAACAAACACTTGGTTAACACTCTGTTTAATTCGTTTCTTCCTTTTTGTTATTTTTTATGGTATATTTTTTTTTAGTTCGAAGGCTAGTAATGGGTGAACTGATTTTGTTCCCCAAGTACATGATAAAAGTTATAAAATGTGATGTGAAATCATACTTGCATTATACTTCTAGTGGCTGAATAGTTTCGATCCTATGTTTTCTTATTAGTTTTGGATGTCAGATGCTGGTAATTCAAGTACCATTTGTTTAAATCATATTTAGTGGGACATTCTGCTCATAGTTAGTAATTGATTTAGCATTTTTCTCTTGTGTGAAATATTTCTTAGGTGGGATCAAGGCAGTACATTATGTTCCCTGGACGCTTTATCTATATACAGAGGCTCAAAGGCGCCAGTGTGAATGATAAGGTAAATAATGCCTCCTTGATGAGGAAAACTTGAGAATCTTGAAATGGTGAGTGAGAGTTTCATATTCTTGTTGGCATTATGCTGTCATGGTGTTGTTATCTATAAGTTGACACAGCTGGCTGAGTTTCAGTGCTTTGTCAACATTTGCTGTTTGTCCTACAAGAAATCCTTTTCTAATTATCTATCTGTTGCCTTTTGTGTGTGTATTTATTTTACACTTCCTTGTAAAATTTCCCGAATCTGTATGCTAGTAAGGCATATAAGTCGGTATAGTGGTGACTTTTGAGAATCTTTGAATGGTGAGAAGTGAGTTCCGTTATTTGTTCATGTTATGCTGTATTGGCGTTTATATTATGTATTATAGGTTGATACAATGGGTTGAATTTTAGGGCTTTGTTAGCATTTTCCTTCTCTTCTCTCTGACGCAGTCTTTATAATTTTTGTTTTGTTTGTATTAATTTTATGCCCCCTAGTAATATGCCGATGCAACTGATGGTTGCATATCTGTTGATTCAATAATGAACTATATTGTGATGTTTACTGGATATCAATTTCTGCTGTATTACGTCTTTTTACACTTTTACTTTCCTGTACGTACTCAGTTGCCACCTCGAATTATTATTACTCTTTCAGTCTTACATTCTTAAAGAAATCATTTCTTTTTGTCACTGATGGCCGTAATGAATCTCAATCCCACTACAGATCATTCTGAATAAAGTCTTGCTTGTGGGAACAAAAACGAGCGCGTACATTGGGAAACCGCTTGTGCCAAATGCCAGGGTAGAGGCCATTGTTGAGGAACAAGTACGATTTTTAATATTAAGAGTGCATCTTTGAACATGTTCTTCAAATATTTGCATGAGAACTCATTCGTGCCCTCTCCGTGTGTAGACATTGGATAAGAAAGTTATCGTGTTCAAGTACAAGAAGAAGAAGAATTACCGAAGAAATATTGGACACAGACAGGTACAATACTTTATAATGTGCTTTAAACCTCGGTTGAACATAGTTTGTAAGAGATTATTAGCTGACTACAATTGCAATCACTGTTATTCTTCCTCTTGACGTGCCACCACACATTCATTTTCTCCGACTTCTTTTATTTTATTCTTATTTGTATCGAATTTTGACAGCCTATCACAAGAATACGAATTACAAGCATCACGGGATACCAAGACTCACCTGTTGTCACTCTTCCTCCATCAATGAGCGCTTAAGAAAAACGACCCAGCTTTTATCATATTCGGATTTCCTTTTTATTTTATTTTTTTTTTCATTATTTCCTTTTGGCAGGATGGTGTTGTACACTGTTTAATTTGAACTTTGTTGAAAAATGAGGACTTGGCATTTTGTATGTAAAAAATTATGTAGGAGGGATTCGAAGACAACATTTGATGCTCAAATCCTACTGTTGCAATATTATTCCGGGTACAATTCTTGCAAGTAGTTCAAGAAATCAACTGAATAAACATGGAAATCTTTTTTTCTGTTGCTTTCTATTTTAGTAACACAAATTCCAGACTGTGTAATCGTCTGGTGAGTTGATTCTTCGTGAAAAAATGCATACATTATCGGCAAGATGTCACACTTTTGGTTATGTCGTTCTTTCAGAATATGATAGTTCAATTTAAAAGTATGCTTGAAAAGCATGCGTCTAATTGTTATTCCTATCTAACAACAATCTGCATAGTTTATTTATACTAGGATTGGGCCCTCAATTGTAATAAATGCTTTCATTTTGGAATGATAAAACCACAATACTAGCAATAATGATGAAAATAATTAGTGCTTCGATAATTTTTTAAATAAATTATTGGTGGGAGAGAAGAAAGTAAACTGACAATTGAAATATTTTGAAGGCACAAAGGTGCATACAAATGCTATGAGCACCAAACTATGAAATCATTTTGTTTTGGAATTGTGAATAAATAAATCTGCAGTCAGATCCTAATTTCTATGCTCATATAACTAATGGATTCAATTTAACACCAATATAATTTCAGCTCTACAGCTGATATCTAGAAGCAACAGACCAAATTCACAGTACACTAAACGAATCGAAATTGAACAAACATTCCAGGACCTATTCGTATACTAGCTTCCTCTTTAAAAGTGTCGGAATTAACAAAACAGAACCAATGAGAAAAAGTACAGCTAGCGTCTTCAAGTCGTACAAATCTTTCACTGACTTAAGATCACCAAGGGCAAGTCCAGCCTGATCAAGAGACCAAAAAAAAAAGGAAACAAAAGCATTTGAAGATTTATATCCGAGGGCCTGGCAATGTAAAACTTTTCGTTTATCTGGTGAGTTGAATAAAAAGGCCAAAAATAAGTGAAAGAAAGCTCATACCCTGACAGTAATATAAGAAGCTGGAACGAGACCAACAACAGTTGCCAGAAAGAATATGTGAAACGGGACATCGACAATTGGTGAAGCCAAGTTGATGAACAGATTAGGCAATGTGGGAGTCACTCTCAGAAAGAGCATGTAATTGAGCAATTTCTCTTTCTGCTTTGCTATCTGAAGCCGATAAAAAACACCACATGGCAAAGATTAAGAGTTTAGAATGATGAATATTTGCCAAAATAGAAATGCGCACAAAACAGTTGCTACAATACCCCGAATTTTTGAAAATTACAAAAACCACCTTTTTAGTTTGATTCTGTCCAACTCTTATGGAAAAATTGCATTTTTAGTCATGCTGGTTTAACGACATGGCATTTTTAGTCCCAAAATTCCAATTTTTCGCCCTTTTGGTCCTGTGATTTAGCATTTTGCTGAAATTGCGTTGAAATTTTAAATCATGGGACCAAATAGCAAAATTTTCAGATCTCATGACTAAAAACGCCACCGAATCAAACCAACAGGACTAAGGGGTGTATTCAATTCGGAATTTAAGTGACATTTTAAGACTTTTCGAGATTTGAGACTTTCTAGGATTTTCAGATTTTGGAAGAATTCTATGAAATCTCAAGTCCGGAGGTAGGATTTTAAGTGGGATTTCACATAAGGTTTTTTGTTTAGAAATCCCACAAAATCTTAAAAAGTCTTAATAAATCCTAGTGTCAAAAAAATTAAATACCTCAGGATTTTGTAAGACTTTTGAAAATCCCAATTGAATACCCCAGGATTTTTAAAAGTTTTAAAAAGTCTTAACAAATCTAAATTGAATACACCAGGATTTCTAAAGTCTTAAAAAGTCCTTAAAAATCCTAATTAAATACACCCTCAACAAAAATGGATATTGAAGAGCCCCCGATATTTATAGAATCATGTTTCAATGTTTTACTCTTTTTCCGTAATGCACAAAAAACCTATGCACTTTCTATTTTGGGGCACCCAATATAGCTACCAAGAATATAGCGAGAAGAGTAAGCAATTACTATCTTCTCCTCGGCCTCTAAGCTAAATAATCTGAATAGTTGCAAGAAGTGTTAAAAGAAAAGTAAAATTATACCTCTGCCTGAAAATATCTAAGCTTTTCAGGCCACAACCAGTTGACAATGGGCCTCCCGATCAGTTTAGACAGAAAATAGCAGGATGATGCACCAGCAGTGGCGTTAAAAACGACCAAGAAAAGGCCTCTCACGACTCCGAAAAGAGCTCCAGCCAGTAAAGACATGAAAATCGTACCAGGTATCATGAATGTCTGCATGAATATGTAAGTCGAACAATAGCCCAGGATGAACTTTGCCGGGTATAATCGAGCATAGCTTGCAAGTTGATCTCTGGAACATTATACAGATGCAAGCCATGAGAAAACGAGACATTTCAAAACTGAAAAATATTTTCAGGACCTCAATTTCAGACAGTTCGACTATGAAGTGCTTGATGCTAACTTTTATAGGCAGCTAATACACAGTATGTGAATGATTGAATATTTTAATATGTTAATTCATTAGTTTGCAATTCAACTAGGATAAAATAAACAGGAAAATCTCATTGAAAACACTTTAAGCTGTAAAGAAAATTGATTTTACTATTCTGATAGTAGGCTATATACCCAAACAGTCCAATGGTTTTTCAGTTCAATACACACAGAAAATAGATTACAAACAACAGAATTAGAGCTGTAAACGAGACGAACTGAGCTTGAACTCGAACTACTGATACTCAAGCTACTTAAGTGCTGATAACGTTAGCGAACCTTAATGAGCCAAATTATGCCAAAAGTTTGGGAAATTATATACAAGTCCCTATTTTTCAAGCCTAAGCTCAGCTCATTAAGTAAACGAGCTCGAGCGGATTGTTTATCAAACGAGCCGACTGCCAAGCTCACTAGCAGCTCTTTTCGTTTAACTCTAAACAGAACACATCCAGTTACAAACAGAAAGCCACGTAATGATATAAAATTTTGCAACAACATATCCTAAACACATCAATTTGGATTTGAGCTAAATAAACTAAAACAATGGAAATGTAAAATTAAATTTACAGTGAAAAAAGAGACACAGACACCTTACTTGAGCAAGCGGAGGTCTGTAAGGGTGCGCGGCAGCCGGAGCATCTCGTACTCGGACGCCGGCATAGTAAGGAAGATACACAGCAGCCCGGAGCAAAATAACAAAAATACCCCCATGGCCGCCGTAAACTCCCACCTCGAGAGCGGGAACCCGCTGGCCCTGTACTTCTTGTCCGTCGGGGTCTCCGCGTCGCACCTCTCGTCCTTATCCAACACCCTAACGACGCCGGCCTCCGCCGCTGCACTCCGCGGCGCCGCCATGGAGATCGACGGGGATGGCGTGGACGGAGGTCGCAATCGGTTGTTGGGCAGCGATGAGCGGCTGAGAATTTCCAACACTCATGAGAATTGTTTGCTACAGCTAGTGAAAGATCCAAAGCAAGAAAAGGGATTAAATGAAAAATTATATCAAGCTGAATTGAAAATAAAATTGAAATTGCAAAAAAAGTTGGGATTTTTATCAATGGGATTGAAAAAAATTTGAGCTGGGGTGGTGTATAATTGATTCAACCATGAAGAGTGTTCACAAGAAAGGGGATCCAGAAAGGAATGAACTGTTGAATATTGGAATCAACATATGATTTGCTAAGTTTGTGTTTGGCTTTCTGTGTCTTGTGCGCATGTGACAGAAATTTTACACCAAGAAACGTATCTCACAAAGTGTCAAAACTGTTGTTTTAAGTTTTGAAAACAAACGTAGCCTTCGCAAGGAAATTACAGGTGTAAACGAGCAAAAATCGAGTTAAGCTCGAGCTCAATTATTGAGTCGATCCAATTAAATAATGAGCCGTGCTCAAACCTTATATCGAGCTGACCTCAAACTTTATGGGACCTAATTATAAAAAAATGCATAAAAACATCCAATTGAGCTAAGTCAAAGACTCAAAGCCAATAAAATGTATTATTAACTTATGTTAGTAGATAAATAATATAAATCAATACATAAAAGGACATTTCATAATAAAAAGTTCATAATTCTATTTTAGAAAGTACAAGACTCAGTTAGTTAACTATTTTCATAATTTTGTCTCTTGTAATATTATGAAAAGCAAAATCAATATGGCATGTGCTAATAAATGATGTAAAATTGTAACTATTCATTTAATTTCCTTAATTCGAAAAAATAAATTACAGCTCAAAAACAATGACAAGTCCTTCACAAGAACATAACACAAGAAGCCCACAACTGAATTACAAACCCCCAAAAAAGAAAAAATACAGTCAGAAATTCAGAAAAACCTTGCAATTAACCTAAAAGCATGAGCAANATGCAGCACTTTTTGCATGGATTCTTCCAGTGTTATTTTTTACAAATTTCACCTTCAAATAAAAATTCAGTGTGACCAAATCAATGCACATATTAATTCTAGCTAGCTATAAACCATCAGGAAAGCATTCCAGTACACATGAGCTAAAATGGCTATGAGCATCCATCGAGTCGCCGTTAGGAACTAACGCCGTGTTTGGATAAACGTACGACGAGGATCCAATCAGCCTGTCGAAGCTCCTCCAATCGTCGCAAAATTGATTTCCGAAATTGCCCTTCTCGTCTTCAATCTCCTCGTTGGCCATAACAACGTTGTGTTCGAAACTATTGTCGTTGTTGATGTAGCTCGTTGAGATCGAGGGACTATCGAGCTTCGGTAGGTCGACCATAATTTGGCTTTCGAATGGGCCTTGGTGAGATTTGGCGGGAAATGTGACCGGATTAATGAAATTCGCGGCTTGTTCGTAATTAGTAGGCATGAAATTCGGGGTGCTCGTGTACGATGGGGGCTTAATGTTGTAGGTATTGACGTTGTTCCTTAGATAGTAAGCATTGTTCCAAGCTTCGAAGCCTTGCTTGTGGCTCGGGTTCGGTTTTTTGAACGCGCGGCAAACGACCCATCCTTCTTCCTANAAATCAAGAACTAAGTATAAAAGTTGCAATCTAGCCCAACTTAATTTTTTCTTAATTTGGTTCAATTCTATGTCAATTTGTTTATTTCTTAATTCTTATTCAACTAGTTAGATATTTATACACACAACTAGCTTATTCAACCTTCAAAAAGTGTTTTTTTAGTATAAGAATAAAAAAGAGTTCTATTTAATTTTATCAATTCAAATGAAGAATTAATATTCAAACAAACATCCAAGTTTTGACTTAAAAGAAAGAAAAAACAAAAAAGAACATTTTAATTAACATTCTTTGATCTAAATTCAAAGTCAATTATATAGTATTTTTATTACAAGTTGCTATCGTGTTATTCACCTGAGGGGGTCCGTGTTCGGATGTCTGAAGACGATACTCGTGCATGATCCAATCAGTTTTTCTCCCATTTGGCGCTCTTCCTTTGTAGAACACCAAAGTCTTTCTCATCCCTATTATTTTCTCCTTGCAGAGAACTGCTTTATCTCTCCCTGTCGCCTTCCAGAAGCCAGCTGTCGTCGCCCGATTGGTCCTTGTTCCGGTAGGGTACTTCCTATCCTTGTGGCTGAAAAAGTACCATTCGTTCTGTTCTTCGTATCCCATTTTGCATCTATCTGAAAGAATATATAACGACAAAAATATGAATACTATGGGATTGGATTAGTCGATATTCGCTCAACATTTTTTTTTCTTTTTTTCGAACAATCGAAATAACATAAATTAATTATATCGATTCTTGTTGTTTAATTAGTTACCTTCAATATCCCATGGCTCCATTTTGTAGAGATCAATATCGGTGATGACATTGAGCTCGATTTTGAGGGAGTTGATCTTTCTTTTGAGATAGTAGCCGACGAGCTCTTCCTCGGTTGGGTGAAATCGAAAGCCGGGTGGCACGCAAGATTCCATTTCCATCCTTTTGATATATCCTAGTAAAATTAGGAAAAACAACACAATTGTTAAGGGCTAGTTGGTATATAATACATTAAAGGATAGTTTAATTTTCTTGATGAGAAACAAAAAAAGCTACCTTTTGAAGAACTTGTCTTGATGAGAAAAAAGTTGAGTGTAGAAGAGAGTAACATTCACACAACTCTTTGTTTTATATTTAAGTTA